AGGATTGCCAAAAACAGCATTTTGTTGGAGATGTAATAAGGACAATGCCTCTTTAAAGCATGTTTCCACAATGTCCTATATCTACCAAGTTTGGGGATAAAGTAGTGGACTATATAAATATGAGTGTGCGACAAAAGCTAAAAATTTCAGAGGATAATATTCTTTTGAACTATATACCTAGTACATGGAATTTGACATCTGAACAACGTAAATGGATTCTCTGTGCCCTTATTATGGCCAAAAGTCTGATATTGCAGCATTGGAAAGATAAATGTATGACCCCATTCACTCAATGGATTGAAGACCTGATTGCACTTGCCACTTATGAGCGGATTGCCTATAGATGTAGACTTTGTATGGACAGGTATAATGAAATATGGGACTCATTTATACAAAATACAGTAGGTTAAAAAAAATGAGAGTCATATAAATACATTAGAAATATATATGTACCTGAATATTTAGATAAATATAGAATTGAAATTGTTTATTGTATGTATTAGATAAATGTAAAATATGTTTTAAATACTTATCGAATTGAAATTGTTTATTGTTATAATTATATATTAACACTTTTTCTCTTTGTTGTATTTTTTTACTTTTTTAAAACCACTTTCAAGTATTTTTTTCTTCTTTTTGTAATCAAAAATGTTTTAAAAAAACCCAAACCCTAACCACAAATTGAAGGATGGTTAGAGAAACCTTTCCCCAAATAACTTATCCACAACTCCCATCATTACAACCATATGGTCATGTTGAAGTACAGAGGTATGTAATGTTGAACATTTACCTGTAAACAAGATTTATAAAAATAACTCTGATATTTTAATTACTTAGAACCCCCAGATGTTATGAATATATTTTATGTTATTTATTCTCATTATTTGTTTCAATAGCTACTCATAAGCATTCAATGAGTCAAAACCAACTAAGAAATATAATTATGTCATCCTAATTATATAATTACAACTCAAGTGCCAATTCATCAGTGCTTGTAATTAGTGATTATTATTAAATAAATACCTTAAATAAGAATTCCAAAGACCAGAAAATTGTGTAAGGGTGATAAACTCATTCTATGGTTAAGGAGGATTCTGAAAAAAGTTACTGGACAACTTCAGCACTGGAATTAGCATGAGAATATTTGACATTCAGATACTGCAGCAACATATTGAATATTCTATCACATATTGTAGTGCTGGTCAAAGATAAAGGACTATCATATCATACTATATAGCATCACATATTTAAATTTATTTCTAACTGTCTTAGTCATAACTCTTCATATTCAAGTGGTAAAACTGTAATTATTAATTTTTGCATGAGTTTTGAAGCACTAATAATTCTATAAACAAATTTATTTCTTTTCTTTTCTCTCTGTCTTCTGTCTAGTAAGTTCAACATCAAAGATGACCTTTATTGTTATTTGCTGTTTGCTATTCTAATATAAGCAATGTAAAGCAACATTCAAAATATTATAGTTGGCATTCAATATTCTATCAAAATAATGGAGGGTCACCTATTTTCCCCAGCTTTGTACTCACAATTTCACGTTTCTCCACTTCAAACCATCGGGAAATTCCTGGCAAACTCTGTACCAACATCAGTGTTGTTCTCTCTACCCATAAACTCTGAGACAAAAAATAAAACGTCAGTTATGTATTAGATTTTTGGGGTGGGGCATCAAGTGGCGTACCATAAAGTTGAGTCCAGGGTCGTGTATCTACAACAGTTTAAGTATTTAATTTTAAATGGATAAAGAGGTAGAGGGAATGTTTATCAGATTAGTGGATGTTACAAAATTGGGTGGGGTAACAGTTTTCTTGGTAGCAATCCCAAAGTGGTTTGGCACTGCTTTTTTCTGGGACTTTTTTTTTAACATCTCAGTGTAACCTATAGTTAAGTATACTTGATGGACTCCCATCCAAGTACTAACCAGGCCTAACCTGCTTAACTTCCAAGTCCAATCAAAGTTCTCCAAGTGCTTCCACCCGCTGAAATATAAAACTCAGAAGACAGAAATAAAATTTAAAATAATCTTGATAAGTTAAAAAAAATAGGCCAAAAATAACAGAATTCAAAGAATGGCAAAGATGATTAGGGACTCATTCTTTGAAGAAAGTTTGAAGGAACTGGAAGTGCTTAGCATAGTAAAGACCCAGGGAGTGATGGAAACTCTTGGCCTCAGAAAACTCATGATCCACTTTCTTCTAAACATGACAACGTTCATTTGCTTGTCTTAAATTTGAGACAATATATACACTCAAGTCTCAAGTCTCCAGATGACCCTCTTGCTGGTCTGTTTAATACAACTCTGTGTCTTTGATCTCTGTTTGGTAGCTTAGCTTCAAGCCTTTCGTCTCTGCTGGGTACATAGGTTCCTCTTCTTTCTCAATCAGTACTATCAGTTCTTCATCACTACCTCTTGTTCCTATATAAGCTTCTTTAAATATGGCATATGGCATTATCAGGAATGGTTTGGATCCACAACATCCCCAGTATCACACCCAAACTGTTTCTAATCTATGCCATGTGAGGCTGGCATATATTAATTCCCTCTATATGGAGTACAGAAAACCAATCTTCATTTTTCTGAAATAACAGGAAAATAAAAATATGTATTAAACATATACCAAACCCCAGTGAATCATCTAGTCATATTACTTTTCATTCCTATGAATTCTTCTGGGAAAAAATGAAATGAATCAAATACTTATTGATGAGAATTGGGACAATAATTTACCTTGAATTCATTGTCTTTGTCTTTGGTCCCTTTGTGAAATGGCCTGTCATACCGGAATCGCCAGATATGATTTACTTTATAAAAACTTTTGATGTTATCTGGAATGCCTTCTCTTTGCAGTACATCCTGGCTTTCTGGAATTGGTGTCACAGCATAGATTTGCAGATCTATGTATAAAATGTTAAGGACTAAGCTACCACAGCACAAGCAAACAGAAATAGAGGATGCATTTGCTAGATGAGAGAAAGCAAGGTAAATTCTTAGTGTATAAGTGATAAACAAGCAATATTTCTCATCTTATTTGGAATTGTCTAATATTTGAGGCCCTCTATTCACAGGATAGGTCAACTTGACTCCTGGTATGAAAGAACTGCTACCATTATGCACCTGACCAGAAACTAAAATTTGTAAAAGAGAACCTGTCAGACAAGAAGGAAAAGGCATTGTCCTGTGTCACTCCCTCATCTTAGAGTTCTATGTAACCTTTCTGCCTTTAGAATATCTATGAGGACAATATTTAGCCATTAGCCAGTCATTTAAAGTTTAATGATATTACTTATTTTGTATATACTGCATTTCTTATTTTTAGGTGTAAATTATCTTGAGTTTTCATTTTAATCAAAAGGCAACCTGTAACTCAACAAAATAATTTGTTATTATTATTTTCCCCCTTTTCTTTTAAACCATTTTCTGTTAGCACGGCCATGTTGATTGATGATTATGCGCCATCAAGTAATTTTCACCTCCTAGAGACTACATAGATATTCTCCATGACGATCTGTCCCTAACCTGGTCTTTCAGGTCTTCCAACATTGCACACAATGCAATTGTAACTGAGTCTATCCACCTTGCTGCTGGTCATTCTCTTCTTCTCTTTCCTTCTACCTTTCCCTGCATTAGAGCCTTTTCCATGCTGATATTATTTCATTATGTCCATATTTCCATTTTCTTTGTAACATCATGACAAAGCATTTGAGTCTGCTACCAGTATATTCAACTTTCTTTTTTCATTATTAAAGTAAATCCCGATTTGCACTGTGGACTTTAAAAGTGGATATTACAAGCACTGCATCCATTTTAATCATGTTATTATTAAACTAGTAGATATTCATGTGTGTGTCTTTAAAACAAATAATAGGGATACACTGTGCTTCTGCTTGAAATATGGTTTCATCTGGTTGATTGGCATGTTGCATAGCAATGGCGTGTGGGAACTCATTTAACATCCGCTGTTGAAACGCCTCCAGACGCTCATAATCATGTCCTCGGCAAACAAATTCTTTGTTCTGGATAGTAAGAAAGAAAAGAAAGATCTTTCTATGAATAAAAGTGGAGATTTTCCTCTTGTTCTAAGCTTCTTTAGCAATGTCCCTCTTTTGTATCTCTTTCAGAAGAGAATTGTGTCTGCTATTTTCAGTTGCTTTCTATCCCTAGCTATTAGAAATGTAGGGTACAAAAATCCCTACATCTCTATTTTGCAAGAAATAGAGGAAGGTACTGTTGTAAGAGGAAGGTACTGTTGAGACAGAACTGAATAAACTAAAAATGCATCAGAATTAATTCCAAAAATAAAAATAATAGAGTATTTGTAGATATTTGAATTTTGTTTCTATCAAGTATAGTTTTCTCTTTGTTTGTTGTATGCATAACCAGGACCAGTCAGATATCCTTTTTGTTAGACACATACCCAAATTATTGCTTAATCAGGTTCTTACTGAAAGAATTAAAAATTGAAGAGTACCAGCTTAGATGGAAAAGAACTTAATATTTACAATTGCCTCCATATTCAAAATCAAATTATTGCTTAATCAGGTTCTTACTGAAAGAATTAAAAATTGAAGAGTACCAGCTTAGATGGAAAAGAACTAAATATTTACAATTGCCTCCATATTCAAAATTCTTACTGAAAGAATTAAAAATTGAAGAGTACCAGCTTAGATGGAAAAGAACTAAATATTTACAATTGCCTCCATATTCAAAATTCTTACTGAAAGAATTAAAAATTGAAGAGTACCAGCTTAGATGGAAAAGAACTAAATATTTATAATTGCCTCCATATTCAAAATCTGGGTGGTCGCCACCATGATTCTCACCCTGTTAGAGAAGTAGGCGTAAATCTCACACAACACAAATTGTAATAATAAAATGAATATTTTTTATAATGTATAATGAGGAATCTCAGGGTTAATATTTTAAAAGCTCTGCACTGTTTTTGTGAGTTTGACTGATAACGTCAGTGGAAAAATTGAACATGTAGTCTGTATTTTCAGGTCTCTCACCCCAGCTCATATGAACAAACAAAGCTATGATAAAAATGTGAAATATGTTTTACTTACAACAAAATTGAGAAGGCAGTCAATTAGTAACACAAACTTAATTAAATAATCACACAAAGAAAATATTCCCAAGTGATTTTACTTATAGCAGTTTACAAGAGTATTCTGATCTTGCTAACCCAACTTTTATTCCAAACCCATTTATGAATCCTTTTTTAAAAAAACAATCCAGAAATATAAGCTTCACTTGAGACGTGGTTTTCCTGTTTATCTTTTCTGCTACCATAGAAACATAAAGCTGCGCAGTTGCAAATAAGATTTCCACACTTTTGATGCTTTTGTACTTCTTAAGTTGGTACTGTGTGGTTACTTTCAAGGGAAACCATCATGAAATCACAGAGAAAAGCACTGTAAACTCTAATGAGGACTGTAGTTTTGATGGAAGAAAGTGTGCAAGGAAACATCAATAGCACATTTTATTTAGATACATTGAATGTAAAATAGAATATATCATATATAGAAATTATTAAATGACTGTGCAGATCAAAGCATTACTGAACATAGAATGAAAATAAGTTTCTTAGCATATACAGGTAGTCCTTGTTTAGTGACTGCCTCAGAGAGTGACTGTTCACAGTTATGATGGCGATGAAAAAGTAACTTTGCAACCAAACCTCATATTTACGAACTTGGTCTGTAAAGCAAAGGAAAGCTGAAGTAAGATCATAAGCACAGTCGCAGTTTCACTTAGCTACTGCTTCACTTAACAACCGAGTTGCCAGTGCCAATTGTGGTCACTAAATGAGGACTATCTGTATAGGTGCCACTGTAGCTATTATGATTTTCAAACCTGTCATAGTAGGAATGTAATAAGTATAGGTAGGTGGGCTGACATGTTCTGTGAATCAAACAATTTATTAGCAGTTTGATTACAGGAGAATTCCTTCCCCATGTTGCTCTCTAAATGGTCTAGCCCAGCAGTTCTCAGTGTGGCCTGCAGACCTTTGGGTGATCTACAAGGTCAAAACTATTTTCAAAATAGTAAGTCATTATTTGCCTTTTTCATTCTCATTCTGTCATGAATGTACAGTGAAGTTTTCCAGAGGCTACATGACGTGCGATGAGATTACTGCTTTGACAGTTAGTGGAATATGTGCATGTATATTCTTGGGTTTTCTAGAATTTTCTAAGGTAGTAGGTTTGTGTTAGATTAACTACTTCTACTGTGCTCTTACTAGCTATACCTGCTATTCAGCTATACCTGCTATAATCTCTGTAACCTCATTATTGTCCAATAAATTGTTATTCTGAAATCCTTGTGCCTACATGGAAACACAAGTACACATTACTGTCTTATTTTATGATAATTTTTAATGAAATCTTTTCTAAAGTTTTCAATTTTATTTAAAACATTATTTTAGAATTTAATAATGTTAAACATTATTAATGCCATTAAGTTATTGTATTTCATTGGTTGGAGAAACACACACAATAGCTGCACAACTGACATGACTGAATGTCTGCTGGATGAAAAGTCAGTAAAAGAAACCATGGTAGTGCCATCTTGCAATGATACAGTAAGTCATCAAATTAAAGATTTAATGCAAACATAAAGACAGAGTGAATATCTTGTGTGCAGAATTGTACTTTTGGCTTACAAATGGATGAATCTACAGACGTTACTGGATTTGCTGTTTTGCTTGTATTCATCCAGTATCAGCATCAACTAATCACAGAAAATATCCAGTATCAACATCAACTAATCACAGAAAATGTTTTATTGCATGGCAACAAAAACAAGTGGTTCTGAAATATTCAAAGTGTTGAATAGCTTTTTTGAATTGCATGGTTCATCTGGAACAACTGTGTTGACATTCGCACTAATAGTGCAAAACCAACTATGGGTAAAACTGCTGGCACCATAGCACAAATCAAGGCAGTGGCACCCAACAGTACTAGTAGTCATTGTATGCTTCATTGCCATGCACTTGCAGTTAAAAAAATGCCAGTTTCACTTAAGAATGTCCTTGATGAAGCAGTAAAAATTATGAATTTTATTAAATCTTATTAAACTCTTGATTACACATATTTGTATCACCAACAGAAGAGAATATATGTAGTTCAGGGTTGAACTGTGGGGTCCTTGGGGTTCTCTGAGCTTGGTTGTTTTCTTGCAGACTTTTCCTTACCTGGTTAGGTAACATCTTCAGTGCTAGCCGGATAATGAAACATCTGCAAGAAAACAACTAAGCTCAGAGAACCCCAAGGACCCCACAATATGAAACATCTGCAAGAAAACAACTAAGCTCAGAGAACCCCAAGGACCCCACAATATGAAACATCTGCAAGAAAACAACTAAGCTCAGAGAACCCCAAGGACCCCACAATATGAAACATCTGCAAGAAAACAACTAAGCTCAGAGAACCCCAAGGACCCCACAATATGAAACATCTGCAAGAAAACAACTAAGCTCAGAGAACCCCAAGGACCCCACAATACTTTTATTATTTTGTGTGATGGAATGGGAAGTACCCATAAAGCACTTCTGCTGCATTTCAAAGTACAATGATTGTTCTGAGAAACAGCACTTGTGTTATTGTTTGAATTGTGAAACTTTCTTTATAGAAAACCATTTTACTTGAAAGAATAAATGACATACTATGGTTATTCCGAGTTGGGTATTTGGCAGACATTTTCTTTAAAATAACCAACTGAGCGTGTCACTTCAGGGAAAACAACTGACAGAATTTATTGCCAATGATAAAGTTTGAGCTTTCAAGTGAAAATTAGAATTTTGGAAAAATTGTACCTACCACCATAAGCTGGACAGCTTTCCAATACTGAAAGACTTTCTGATGAGATCAGTGGTGATGTTAAAAAATGTGATTTTTTGATACTGTATAGTGAAATGAGTCAATCTTTGGAATATCTTCATAGCCAATGTTTTCCAAATGACCAGTACATGATGTTACAAAATCATGCATGGGTAAAAAAATCCATTCAAAGTGCACGATAGACCAATGGATTTTAATCTGACAGAGAATAAGTTCATTGATTTTAGATTCCACATTGCAACTAACCTTTAAGAAACTACTAGTTGTTCACTTTTCAAAGAGTATCCATAATTAACTGAAAAGGCTGTTAAAATACTTCTTCCTTTTCCAACTGCATAACTATGTGAAGCCAGATCTTCTTCATATACTTCATAAACTTCAACCAAAACAATATATTGCAACAGACTGAATGCAGAAGCAGATATGAGAATCTGGGTGTCTTCTATTAAGCCAGACATTGAAGAGATTTGTAAAAATATAAAACTCTTCTCATTTTGTTTTAGAAATTATAGTTATTTTTCATTTTAAAAATATGTTATTTATGTTAACATGTAATGGGCTTATTGTTATTTTAAAATGAATGAATGAATGAATGAATGAATGAATGAATGAATGAATATATATATATATTTATTTTAATTCCTGAGTTTTAATTGCTAATATGCTATTTATCAATAGATATAAACCACATAAACAAAATCTTTTTGATGTTCTCAATAATTTTTAAGGATGTAAAGGGGTCCTGAGACTAAAACATTTCAGGCCTATGCTGCCTTCACCTCCTAATCTGGTTAACTATGGAGATTCCTGTAGTTCCTGCATTAGGATTTGCTTGCTGAGGCTGGCTGGACCTTAAGGGCCTAGTATGAATTGTACCCTGGAAACCTCTCCTATTGGGGATAACTGCCTCACCCTATGCTCTACCAGGAAGCCTCCTCACCTTGTGGTTGTTCTTTACTGCCAAACCGCTTTGAATCATAAAATTGTTGAGACCACAAGGATTGTCTAGTCCACCCCTCTTCAATGTATAGGAAAATCAGTTAAACTGATTATATACCATCAAATCATTTTCGACTCCTAGACACCACATAGATAGATTTTCTCCATGATGATCTGTCCCTAACCTGTTCTTTCAAGTCTCCCAACAATGTATTTATCGCCACTGTGACAGAGTCCATCCACTTCGTTGCTGATCGTCCTCTTCTTCTCTCTTCTTCCACCTTTCCCAGCATTAGAGCCTTTTCCAGAGAGATGGTCTTCGCA